TCGAGTCTGGAGGTTAAGAAGGCATGAATGAGGGTTTCAGCAGTAGCAAAGTTGAGTGAGGGGCATAGTTTGGAGATGGTTTTTAGATGGAAATAATCCGTTCTGGAGACACGTTTTATATGGGAATCAAAAGACAGTGAAGAATCAAAGATGACACCTAGGTTATTAACTTCAGAGGTAGTAGTGGTGAACTAGCCAGGTGTGGAAAACTGTGACTGATTTATCTTCTTCAGCAGTATTGGTGTGGCAATAAGAATGGCTTCAGTCTTATGGTTGAGTTTGAGAAAGTTGTGTGTCATCCATTTACTAATGTCGTTGAGGCAAGTGACCAGATTCGAGGGAGAGAGTGAATGGGAGGGCTTGAGGTGAATGTAAATTTGTGTGTCATCAGCATAGCAATGGAAATTTAAGCCGTAATGACGGAGAATGTGACCAAGAGGGAAGAGGTAGATGATGAAGAGCAGGGGGCCAAGGACAGAACCTTGAGGGACACCATGTGAGAGGGCGGCACTAGGGGACCTGAAATCACCAATAGATACAAACTGTTCCCTACCCGTGAGATATGATGTAAACCAAGCAAGTGCAGTGCCTATAATGCCCAACAGTGTTTCCAGCCGGGTGAGCAGTGTGTTGTGGCAGACCGTGTCAAAAGCAGCTGTGAGGTCTAAAAGCAGGAGAATACTGACATGGCCCGAGTCAGCAGCAATTAGCAGGTCATTTAGGACCTTGACCAGGGCCGTCTCAGTGCTGTGCTTTGTCCTGATCCCAGACTGAATCTCCTCCCATAGGCTGCAAGAGGTCAGGTGATATTGAAGCTGCGTGGCTACGGTGTGCTCAAGAAGTTTGGAAATAAAAGGCATGTTGGAAATGGGACGATCAGTTTTTAAAATCATCAGTGGCTGCTCCAGCTTTTTTCAGAACTGTAGTGATAGCTGCAGTTTTGAGAGAACAGGGGACCAAGCCTGTGCAAAGAGATGTGTTTATGATATGGACAAGAATAAGACAGAGAGCCGGCAGGCAGATTTTAACTAGTGGGGTGGGCATGGAGTCCATGAGGCAGGTAGTGGGCCTAGCCTTAGTGACAAGATCATGGACAATATGCTCATCAATAGCTGAGAAAGAAGAAAGAGACTGAGCCGATGTTTTAGGCGAAGTGGAGACGTCACCCAAGGTGGTAGTGGGGAGTAATTTAAGCTGCCTATAGATGGTGCTAATTTTGTTTTGCAAGATGTTAAGAAACTCACAGCAGAGACCTGTTGAAGGGGTGAGTAGAAAGGGTTTAGTTGGCTGGAGTAACTTATTGACTGTGGAGAACAGGGCTCTGGGGTTTCTCTGACCTCTGGTGATAAGTGTGGAGTACAGGGATTTAGCCTCATTAAGAGACTCCTTGTAGGCCAAGACATGATCTTTAAATGCCTGAGTGTAGACAGTCAACCCAGTCTTTTTGCTGAGACGCTCAAGCTGATGGCCAGCTCAGGTGTAAACCAAGGAGCAGTACGTAGGAAGGAGACAGTGCGTGTTTTAAGGGGGACAAGTAAATTTAAAGTGCTAGATAGGTGAGAGTTGTAGAGTAATACCAGTTCATTAGGGCATGAGTTAAATGGTTCATCTTTGAACTGGAATTGCAATGAGCATATTAGCTCAGCTGTGTCAATATTCTTGGTGTTTATGTACATGATGGAGCATGGGGGGCGAAGACGGCACTGAGGCTCAGGAACAGCAACTTTGAACAGGATAGCCACGTGGTCAGAGACAGAGAGATCTTTTGGAAGAAGATCAGATGGAGATATACCACTGGTGCAAACAAGATCTAGAATGTGACCTTTTGAGTGTGTGGGAAAATTTACATGCTGGGTAATATCAAAGCAGCTTAACATATCAAGAAAATTGTTAGCAAAATTGCAATTGTTTGAGTCGATAAACTTAGCAAGGCAGACTCAGTGAAGTAATCGAGAGGGCTCACACAAACGCTATAGAACAGACAAGGGCAAGCACACCGGTGTTCTGTCGAGTTGAGCTACTTTGTCGAGGTAAGCTATGTTTAGGGCTATCGATTAGCACTACGGTAGCTTACCTCGACAAAGTAGCTCAGCTCGACAGAACACCTGTTAAACATGCTTATGGGACATACCAGATCAGATCTGGACTACCTGGCTGCTGGCCCGCTAACCTGTTTACCAGTGCAGTAGCAGCCCAGATGTGTCAGGTCTGCCTAGGGGTCTACCGGAGCTAATTATCGACTAACTATACTACAACCTGTGGATTTACTATTTATCCCTGTCTCTTCAGGAGTGAACTGTGAGTATATTGTCCGTCAACACTTGCCATGGTCTGCCGGTGTTCTGTCGAGTTGAACTACTTTGTCGAGTTAGGCTACCGTAGTGGTAATCGATATCCCTAACTCTAAATCTTACCCTAACCCTAACCATAACCCCCCAAAAACCACTAAAACCCTTACCCTAACCCAAACCCCTAAAACCTAACCCTAACCCCCAGACGGTGGAACTGCACATGCGCAAAAAGGCTCGATAGTACGTCTCAATAGGTAGCTCAACTCGTCAGAACACTGGCAGATGGCTGCTTATGCGCTGCGTGCTTGCGCAAGCATCACGGCTCACTCCGTGACAGTGGGTTTGGCGTAAAAAGAAGAATGGCTATAATGAACCTTATCCCAAATGCAAAATATGGAAGAGGTTCTGTGATGTTGTGGGGCTGTTTTTCCTCCAAAGGCCCAGGAAACTTTTTTAGGGCACATGGCATTATGGACTCCATGAAATACCAGGACATTTTAAATCAAAATCTGGCTGCCTCTGCCAGGAAACAAAAACTAGGCTGTCATTGGATCTTCCAGCCGGACAGTGATCCTAAACACATGTCCAAATCAACACAAAAATGGTTAGCTGACTGTAGAATCAAGCTTCTGTCATGGTCATCTCAGTCCCCTGACCTGAACCTCATTGAAAACCTGTTGGCTGAGCTGAAGAGTAGCCCGTAGTATCAGGAAACAAAATCGCACATATCATGAGGCACATTTCAGGTTTTGTACATTAAAACACGCCAAATTCAGGAATGTAAACCAAAAAATTCTACGAGTTAGGGAACACCCCCTTTTTTGAATCCAAACTTTGGGAACCTAAAATTTTTTGACAACTTTTATTAAAACGCACAAAACTTGCAGACAAGCATGCAAAACTGAATGTCCAGGACAAACAAAAGAATGTCACAGCAGAGAAAGTCTGTTCCTGCATGTTTTGCTGTATTTCAATAATCAAAAGGTGCACAAAAGTCTTTCTTTGTGTCACCACTGCTCTTATGTAGCCATCTCTCGCATCAATTCCATAAACAGCACTCGCTGCTTCAGTCACCATTCTTATGCAACATTCTACACCCTGAGAATGGCATGGTATGTCCACACAATATGGCTTCTGGACAATTTTCTTCAGCTCTTCATCAGAGAGTACTTTTGTAAGTGGCGGTTCAAGTGTGCATTGATCCAAAGTCTTTAATTTGTAGTGGTCGAAATTCCCTGATATGGTGTCGAGATGACATAGGAGCTGCGCGATGGCGTTGAGATGACATAGGAGCTGCGCGAATCGTCATTATGATATCAACAGCTATTTTTCTGTTTGACTTATCTTAATCTGCCAACATAGCCAAAAGCACATTTTCTTGGTGAGCCCAATAGGAATTACGTTGAATGACGGGCCATGTTGTTTTTCGGTTGTCTGGTGTGAGATGTTTTTGCATCTGAATTTGTTTAAACAGGTGATTCGGACCATCTGTGCATTTTGGGTGCCACTTGATTTGGAACCACATAGGTCCGTAATTGTTGACAATAAACTGTGTCAAAAAAAGGAGCTCGCTGGTAGGTTGAACCGTTCCTACATATTGCCGACAAATTCTACTTGCAGTCGTTAGCCATCTTGCCATTGACATAGCTCCGGGTTTCTCACGAAGCAGATCATCACTGTTCTGATTGCTGTTATGATGTTATACAGATAAGCTTCGTCTCGACTGAGATCATTGTGATCAATATCTGGAAGCGGCTCGCCATCAGAGATACTCTTGAAGTCGGCTTTTGGCAATGTCTCACATGTTGTCAAGACTTTGCCTATCGGTCCTTTCCACTGAGTTGGTCCTTCAGTGGGACCAATCAGTTTCTTGCACAAATGTTGCAGTGGAAGCTCATTCAAGTGCATGCAGCACAAACAGTACCGGACATCGTGTCCCCTCACTTCCGCAGACAATTGACTGTTTGTCTGACAATTAAGCGATGCACAAATTGCAATACCGCTGGGCAATTTGTCACTAATTTTCACACTTTCCCACACTAAAAAAGGGAGTGTTACACTTCTCAGAAAATTGATTGCTATACATTTTTTAAATCACAGTTGTGGGTTGTACAAAACATGAAATGTGCCTAAAGATCGCTCACTTCACTACAGGCTACTGAAGAGTCGAGTGCACAAGAGAGTTCCTAGGACCCTGTATGATCTGGTGAGATTCTGTAAAGAGGAATGGACTCAGATGCCCTGCTTGGTATTCTCCAACTTTATAAAAATATTATAGGAGAAGACTCAGTGCTGTTATACTGTACAAAGGGAGGTTATATGAAGTATCAAAAGCAGGGGTGCCAATAATCATGGTGCATGTGTTTTTGTTAAAGATAATTATCTCTTGATGAAGGATTTGTTTTTCTTTCAATAGATTTATTTTAAGGACAGGTTGGATTTTTATTAGTTTTACAGTGTGGCATGAAGCTGCTTCACCAAAAGGTGATTTTTTTTTCTAACCCTTTTTACAGATCTTTAAAAGGGGTGCCAATAATAATTGTGGAGGGCGTTGCAAAGTATCTTGTGTCACGTGATGTAACGCTATCACAATTAGTGGGTCGGTGTGTGTGTGATTTGTGTGTTGGGGATGCGTAAAAAAGGCGGCACTTGGCGGAAAATGAACGAATGTGCAGTGACCTGCATCATGTCATCCAAGCCAGCAGGTGGCGCTCGCTCGTCTTCACCTGAAACCGGGCAAAGACAGGAAAGGTGCTTTATGACGGAAACTTCCGGCAACGCGGGAGCCAGTGGGGCAGACGGCGAGTTCAGGCGGCAGGCCGCGTTTCGTCCCTCAGGAAACAAAAAATTAAGTGTACGTTCGACTGAGTGACTGGGAGCGCTCGCGGCTTTAGCGACGGCGTTTATATATTTTGCCGAGACTCAGAGGGTGTAAAATGAGCTTGGGCTTTCGCCGGGGATCAGTAAGACTGGATAGTTGATTAACGTCGGAGACAAAAAAAAAAACAAAACGCTCGCTTCGCCAGTACTTCAGTGGCTGTTTCCTGATAACCGCTTCTGATTGAATTGTTTCTCCCCAACCTTCCCCGATTTAGCTAATTTTGCGAAGATCGTTCAGAGCTATTGTGCAGTTTTAAAACGCATAGCAGTGGACTTGCGTCTCCTGATAAACGACGCCTGCTTTAGCTAACTCTTCCCAGGCCGGCCGACCTTCCGCTCCACCACGGATCCAAAATGTCGGAGTTTGACGAATTCGAGAGGCAGCTGACCGAAAACAAGCACGGTGGGTCCTTAAAGGCTGTATTTACACACTGCGTTCTTTATCTTGATTTTTTTTGCCACCTCTTCACTTATTTGGGAGACTGAGAGTTTGCCCCGCTGGCCCATGTGCTTTTTGCCGTGGGGAGTTTGGCACTCCAGGTTTAAGGTGGTCGAAATCCGCTAAACGGTGTCCGGCTGCGGGTCGGGGTGTTGTGGGTTTAATATCAATATGCCCATTGCTCTGGGGAAATTCAGTTAATAAGTTTGTTTGTGCTCTGGTGTCCGCTTTAAACCGTCCTCCATAGAGCGGGACAAAGAGAATCGGCACCGCCGTCGTAGCCCGTCCCGCAGCCGGAGCCGGGAAAGGAAGAGGAGAAGCCATGAGAGAAGGAGCCGAGATCGGCGGAGCCACAGCAAGGATCGTAGACAGAGGCGCAGGTGAGTGTTATGCTCCACGTCGCTATCCGGCGTTTAGGCCGGAAAAGTGCAGCGATTCCGAATTGTAGCTCTGTATGGGATCAACTGTTTTGTAAAGAAACTTGCTAGTTTGACCGTCTGTAAACGCAACCCTCCTTTCCCACTGTCATTTCAGCACACAGAGTCAAAACCAACCCCAAGAGATTGCTGTGAGGTAATGCGGTACCCAATACGACTTATACTGGTAGTGCAAATCATTTTCAAGTAAAGGAAGGACAAATGTGTAACATGCAAGCCCAAAATCAGTATGCGTGCTTGTTTTCGTCTGGAAATCTTTTTTTAAGGATACGTAATGATACTGTCACTACTGCATAGCTCTTTATGCGACATTAGATAGCACGGTGAACTACGTTTAGGCATTTGCTTATTTAAAAATCTTTCTGAAACTACATATGTTTCACTTGCTTGTATTTCTCGCTTTCCAGCAATTTTATATTTCTCTGAATGTAGGGTTATTTGTATGGTGGGCTGATGCATATACAGGTAGAGGGTTGGCTCAGTGGTGAGTGCACGTCCGAGCTGCTAAAACTTTTAGCAAAGAACTTCTCTTGGTTAGATTTTACGTAGTTTTTGAGAAAGATCCCCAAAGTTTTCAAGCTTTATACTACTTTTGAGGGCCATTCGACTTCATAGGGTACGTTTGAATGCTGCTTTTTCACATTAACCAACAGTTTAGTCTTTAGCAAATTTGTTCTAAGCCTATTTTGCTTTATCATAAACATTAGTGGAATTTTGAGTCATAAACCCTTATTATCACACCTGTCTGTCTATGACAATCTTGCCTCTTAAATTTGGCTCAATCCTGTGATTCTGCATGCAAAAAAAACGAGAACTGGGTAGTAATTCTAGGTGTTAATATTGGCAAAGATGTCACCAAGCACAAACAGAATACAGATGAGGGTTTTGTTGAATTGTCTTGTTTCATTCATGTACAAATTGTGTAGCAAGTCTTTACTGTGCACTTTGTACTGTGTGCACATGTGTCAGTCATCCTAGTAATGAAATGTGTTTGCCTAGCTGGGAACTCCTTTTGGACACTAGTGATGCCCTAACATGCCTTCCAGTGTGAGCAAACCCCAAACTGCAAATATCAAACTCTTCAGTTGGTGAACACAATAGTGGTCATATGTTTAGAACTGACATGCTGCCCTCTTAGTGAAATATGAATATTCCAAAGAAATTCTTGATTGGTGATAGAATAGAATATGATACATAGGGTTTCCCTAAGGGGATTAACAATCTTGCATGAAACAGAAACATGAAGGTGAGAGCATGCTTGGGGGTCGCAGTACAGGGTCAGTCAATGTGCAGTGCCCCTGGAATTGGTGGTTAAGGGTCTTGTTCAAGGGCCCATGGACATGTGACTGTTCTGCTGAGGCCAGGGCTCATACCAGCGACCTTCCCCTCAGAAGCCCAGAGGCTTGGGTGGCTGATTCACATACTGTGCCCGAGCTGAGTGGCAGGAAGTGTAGTGTGGGCGTGTTCTAGACCTTCAGTGACCACTCATTTAGTCTGGTTGTGTTTCATTAGGCTGAGGGACCGGATGCGTGCTGTATACCTGCATAGTTTATATCCCAAGTGGTAACTTGTGGCTTTTTAGCACGTTCTTGCATGGCACACTGGCCCGTTTCCTTGAGGTCTACATGAATGTGTGCTTGTGCTTATATTGACACTGAGCAGGTGTGTGCTACACTTGTATATTTCAGTGAATAGGATGACAGATGTCCTTAATGTAGTTTGCTTTTAAAACTCATTTTAAATGTCATGTACCTTGTGCGCCTCTATTTCTTGGTCTCTCTGCTGCCTTTCACGTTTCCTGTCTGTCTTGACAGCCGCTCCCCACACCGTGAGAAGAAGAAGAAAGTCAGAAAGTACTGGGATGTGCCCCCTCCAGGCTTTGAGCACATCACTCCTATGCAGTACAAAGCCATGCAGGGTCAGTGTGTCTCATGCCATTTACCTAATTTGCTTTGGCCAGTAACATAATGTCTCTGAGCCCTCTCAGTGTGTTTTTTGACCCTGGTCTCCCTACTGGAGCCTTTCTGCCTATGGCCATTCCCCATCTCTCATCTTGTTTTCACTGTTTGACTTTTTTCTTATCCACAGCTGCTGGGCAAATCCCAGCCACAGCCCTGCTGCCAACCATGACTCCGGATGGTCTGGCAGTCACCCCCACCCCTGTTCCTGTGGTGGGCAGCCAGATGACGCGGCAGGCACGCCGGCTTTACGTGGGGAACATCCCCTTTGGCATCACTGAGGTGGCTGCTCTTCTTGATGGTTAAGGGTCATTTAGTGAGAAGGCTAAATATATCCGAGTATTGATTCCTTTGCAAACAGTGTTTAATTTCTAAAATTTTAATGCTTATTACTACTTCTAATTTCTAGAAATGTCCACTTGCTCTCTGTAACCTATTACAGATGTGTGAACATGGGTGCTGTGTGCTTGCTTTCAGGAGTCCATGATGGACTTTTTCAATGCCCAAATGCGTCTGGGTGGTCTCACCCAGGCCCCTGGAAATCCAGTCCTTGCTGTTCAGATCAATCAAGACAAGAACTTTGCCTTCCTTGAGGTTTGCCCCATTCTTTGACTGCTTATTTCTGGGTTTATACCTTGTCCTCTTTATCTCTGAATCATGGTTGTAGTACCTCATCGTGATGCTACTATGCGGTGTGCAGCTAATACTGTCTGCTTCATTCTGCAGTTTCGCTCAGTGGATGAAACCACCCAGGCCATGGCCTTTGATGGAATTATCTTCCATGGTCAGAGCCTTAAGATCCGCCGGCCTCACGATTACCAGCCCCTACCTGGCATGAGCGAGAACCCCAGTGTGTATGTGCCAGGTAAGATCACTCTGTGTATGGACCCCTTCTAAACATGAGGCTTTGGCGGCTTTGTGGGAAATGTTGTCTTGTTGCAAAATGTTTCCAGTCTTCTATGGATCTGAGTCGTCGCTTTCAGAATATTACCTTCATGCAGATTCTGTGTTTCCAGTACCAAGTCGTACCTGGTATTTATACTCCGCATCTTCTACATGGTGTTTTCTCATTTTAATTTATATAGTTATGAAGAACTGATCCAGGTACTTGTATGGATGGCCTGTATGCAAGCTTTGTGAAGCCTGCCAGATGAGTGTAAAGTTCTCTTGTTCTTTTTGCAGGAGTGGTGTCTACTGTGGTCCCTGATTCAGCCCATAAGCTCTTCATTGGTGGCCTGCCCAATTATCTCAATGATGATCAGGTCTGTGTTGCCTGGCTTTGCAGCTGCTTATTTACACAGAAGGCAGGTCTCCTAATGTTACCACTTGTGGGTCTGTTTTTTTGCACTCTCCCAGGTAAAGGAGCTGCTGACCTCATTTGGGCCCCTGAAGGCCTTTAACCTTGTGAAGGACAGTGCCACTGGACTGTCCAAGGGCTACGCCTTCTGCGAGTATGTGGACACCAACCTGAATGACCAGGTATGTTGCGCTTGGATGGTGTGACCTTCTCTGTACTGACTGTATTCTAATGGCACACGTCTAGGATAAGTATCCCTAAGTGTGTTTTTAATGATGTGGTTTGCAGTTGTTTGGCATTAATTGGGGGTCCTCAGTGTGGTGGGGCTTTCTGGTGTCAGGCCTCTCGGAGTCATTGTAGGGGGTAGTAGTGAGTACTTTGCTTCTACATGAATATCTTCGGTTGTTTCGGCTACTTTGTGGGTCTGATTTTTCTTGGGTGTCTCCTTGTTTACAGACCTTATGTAAAGCTTGTGTGTGCTATACCAGCCTCTCCGTGGCTCTGATTCTTCCTCAGACCCACTTGTTGGGTGTATAGGCCATCTGTAAAGCCTGTATCTGCTTTCACAGGCAATCGCTGGGCTCAATGGCATGCAGCTGGGTGACAAGAAGCTCCTTGTGCAGAGAGCCAGTGTGGGAGCGAAGAACGCCTCTCTGGTGAGTCCCGGGTTGGGTTTCTTCCACCCACTCTTATGAACACCTTGGGTGGCCCTTTCAGCCATGTCTGATTCTCTGGTTCTGCCCTGTTCCCCCTACAGAGCAGCATGAACCAGACTCCAGTGACACTGCAGGTTCCAGGGCTGATGAGTAGCTCTGTAGTGCAGATGGGTGGCCTGCCTACCGAGGTGCTTTGCCTCATGAACATGGTGGCCCCCGAGGAGCTCCTGGATGATGAGGAGTATGAGGAGATCGTCGAGGATGTACGTGACGAATGCAGCAAGTATGGCCAGGTGAAGAGCATTGAGATCCCCCGGCCTGTTGATGGCCTGGAGGTACCCGGCACTGGCAAGGTAAGCGGCAAGGCAATTACTGTTTCTTCTGAGTGTTCCTGAACCAGAACTACTCAGACTTGTAAATTCAGTCTGTCGTGCTAGAAGCTACCCCAGAGTAATGTGTACAGCCTTAACTGTCTGTGTGTCATCCTCAGATCTTCGTGGAGTTCACATCGGTGTTTGACTCCCAGAAGGCTATGCAAGGGCTGACAGGCAGGAAATTTGCCAACAGGGTAGTGGTGACAAAGTACTGCGACCCTGATGCCTATCACCGCCGAGACTTCTGGTAGAGATGTGGTTTGGGGGGTGGGTGGTTGGGTGGCAAGGGGTGATGATGAGACCTGGGGGTTTGTAAAGAAGCATGGAATAAATCTGGGGATGTAGGAACCTTTTCACATTTAGATGGGGGGAGGGTCTTTATATCAAGGTGTTTGATGGAAGGGCTTAAATTGTCAGGGGAAGGAGTTCTGGTTTTACTTTGTCACCGTGAACTGGGGTCTCTGCTTCATGGCCTGTTTTTTGTACCTGGGTATAGCTGGGGTTTTGGGGTGGGGTGGGGGCGGGGCGGGCGACAGTGTCAGGAAGGATGTGTGTTTTTTTTGTTTTTTTTTTTGTACTTGGGTACACGATGGATAGAGGAAATTTTAACAAGCATCTGGTCGAGTATATTCAAGCTGTCGCTGAGATGAGCAGAGAACATGGCAGCAATCCTTTAAAAACAGACATGGAACTGAAGAGAATTAGCTTGTTTCAGCTTTATACATGTATGTACCTGTATGCTTTCGTACATGTCAGCTTCACCTCATTCTTCCCGTCTGTATGAGTGCAGATCAGCTTGCTTTTCTCCTGCTTACTTACATTCATAGTTCTCGTAGCAGGTACTCATTCATGAGTCAGCTCTCTGTGCTGGCTGCTGTTTTGCAAGCTGGTACCTCAGCTCTCCTGGGCAGCACCATGTGGAGCGCTGCAGGAGTCGCTGTAGGGCCCGGTGTTCCCCAGGTACCCTGCAGAAGTACAAAGACCCAGTTTAAAAGTTTACTATTGTAGTGTGTTTAGTCTATATTAACTTTGACAGAAAGCTTTATTCCCATTAACTTAGAAGAGCAGAAAACTATACAAACATCTTGAATGCTAAATTGTGAATTTGTTCAGCCATAGTGTCGTTCATGGCAGTTTTGGTTGATGTTTTCGTAAGTTTTCAATACATATCCAAAAAGCACTATTTTGTCAGAAAACTAAACAGTTTAAACCAGGGCAGAAAATTTTGCTTTATAAAAATTTTAAAAAATCTTTTTACAACTTAAAGCAAGTAAGCTCCCCATAAGCTGGAATGCAAAGTGGTATAGATATGAGTTTGTAACTCCTCCACTGCCTTATGTAATGATGTTGTGCTCATCTTTAAACTTTGTCACTAGATCTGCAGTGTAATGAGACAAAGCAGCAGCCAGTGAGGGGGTTGCAGTGTAGTGCTAGAGAATGCTTGAGCTGACACTTGGGTGGCTGAATCGGTAGCAGTAGTCTGTGGGGTTGGGGGGGGAGGTCCTATTGGAAAAGGTTTCATAGCAATAGCATTCAAGAACACATACAAACACTTCCTTTGCTTTCCTTTCCCATTGCTCTCGCTCACCTGCTGGATTTTTCTCTATCACAAGGACCACAATCTACGTCAGTGAGACTGTCAAATGTCGATTGGATTTGCTTTTATGTTTCCTCCTTATTCCCTTTTTTTTCTTCATGTGACAAGATTACACAAGGATGTCAGAGGAGGTAGCAGACAATATGGTGTTCTGTTGAAATTTTTTTTTGATTCTGATATTGAAATGGCGTACACTTTGACATTAACAGATGGGGTTGTCATACAGACTCCAGAATGGATTGCAGTACAAACTCACTTGAGGGCAAAGTCATCGATGGTTGATTGTTGTAAACGGCTATATCCTGGGCTTATCTGGTGACTGTACTGTTGAGTTGGTTTGTCTGTTTAAATTTTGATATTGTGACTGTTATTTAGTCCTCAAAAGACAGACATATACTTTTTATTTCCTCTCCGTGTTGTATTTTGTTTTGGAAATCCAATTGCTCTCATTAAAATGAATTTGATGTATGCTGACTTCTTGTGCTGTTTTGGACTGTCTCACTTTCTTGGATGGTACTGAATGCTTACATATACAATTTTTCCATTTATCAGATTTGTGTGGTTATGTTGTGCTATGTGTCTGTGCTGTTTGGACGGTTACCAGTTTGAATCCTGTGACTGACGGTGTTGTTATATCATTGTGGGCCCTTGAGTAAAGGTCCTTTATCCCAGGAACTGCTCTAGGGGAACTGGATAAATGGCAGCCTCCGCACTCTGATCCAAGCTTCACTTTCACCTTGGTATTTGTGTGTGTTCTTAGAGTAAGCTGGGATTCGTAAAAACGAAAGAATTCCTACGTACCCTGTACAAAGGTGAATAAAATGTTAAAGCAATGTAAAATCTACTTAAAGGTATTTTTCCTGGATATTGGGACAGTTTCACAGAACTGAGCTAAATTTCTAAATTCCTTTTGTCTGATCGTTGAGTTGGAGTTTCTTCTTTGCCCTATAAGTGCTTTTACATCCTCTCTATGCTGGGCTGTCTGCTGAAATAGGACTGTCACACTGCATTATGGAGGGGTGGCTTTTGGCACACTTCCTGTATTGCAGTCTGAAATTAAAGCTGTCCTACCCAGGTTTATATCGGAGACTGCTGTGCTGATTTTTTGCTGGGCATCGTTCAGTGGCAGAGGTGTTTTCCATTCTGTTGTCAAGGGCTAACTGACAACCTCTGCACCCTGCGATACAGATCGTATGCGTGCGTGACTGTTAAACCTTTTGAGAAATGTACTTCTATAAACCAATGCAGTAAAGTTACTGGACTGCCATTACAGGCCATGGATTCTAAGTGACAAGGAGATAATTTTACTAAGGGAATTAAAATGTCTTGTTTGACACTATTAACTCAATAGCTGGGATGATGATCACATCTGCATAGCTAGTTACATATCTTTAAAAGTACAGTGGTACCTCGGAACTCAAACTTAATCCGTTCAGAACTCCGGATCGAATCCTAAAAAGTTCGAGATCTGATTGAATTTTCCCCATAAGAAATAATGGAAAACCAATTAATTGGTTCCCGCCCCGCAAAAAATTACACCTAAATATGTTTTTTTTTTTTTTTGCGTTTAAACACAAAATGACCCGTATAGAACAGGAAGAGCATATACTGTACTAAACATATCTAAGCACATTTATCAAAACAGTAATTTGTAAAGTAAGAAAATAAATGTATCCAAACAATGTGTCCTACCCCGATCATCTGTTCCTTCCGTGTGCCACGCCCCTTTGTTAACCCCGTGTGGAATCCCTGTGTGATCAGCTGTTTCTGGTTGTTGTCATTAGTCCTCTGTATTTCGTCCACGTTTCAGTTTCCCCAGTCCGGTCATTGTATTGTCCGTCTGCGTTTTGCCTGCCTTACCTGTAATTAAACCCTGTATTCCCCGATACCCTGACATCTGCCCCTTTGTCTCCGTTCCGTCCCCGCTCGGCACAACAATATTATTATAATTAAATGTATTAATGGTTTATTATTAATATTAAAATAATAAGAAATCTTTATTTTTAAATGTATTTTATTATACAGTAATAATTACTGTTACTGTCTTTCATTGTCTAAATGTATTTTTACTGTCTAAATATATGTATTCATCTAGTGTAAACATGCAGGATGCTATCACAGCGAATGTGAGGCTGAGACTGAAGCTTTACCCTTTGTTTCCGCTGACAAACATGCCACGTGACTCATTTCCCAGCATCGTACAAGTTATCTTAGGTCAGCATTCACGGTTTGACTTCTGAGATTCAGATCAAGCTGGTTGGTTCGACTTTTAAGAAATGCGAATTCTAATGAGTTGGAGAACTGAGGTACCACTGTATATCAACATGTATGTAACATAACTGTAACAATCAGTCCTGCTACAATGCGACTCATGCTTTTCTGAAAAACCTTGTGTTTACTAAAAGCGCATCCTCAGATACACATCCATACACACACGAGGTAGTCCATTGCTGAGAGTAGCGAGCTGTGATGGCCAAAAAGATGCTTCATTAACAATTTGCTGTATTTTTGGGGCCCACTAGATGGTGCTCTTGGATTACTTTGGGGCATGCTTTTTAAAAAAATAAAAAATCACCATCTAGTGGGGTCAAAAATTACAGCACATGGTTCATGAAGTATCGTTTTGGCCATCATGAGTTGGGAGTAGTTAGCCACAGCCACAATGCAGCCAGGTACACACATAGTACAAATACAACGCATTACAGTATGCAGAGGGGCACCATGCGACCGGGTACACACACAGCACAAATACAACACACTACGGTATGTAGAGGGGCACCATGCGGCCGGGCACCACATGGCACAAACACAATACATTACGGTATGCAGAGGGGCACCTCAGTCAGCATGGCCACAATGATTCCAAAAAGCAAATGAAAGTGAATTAAAATCATTGTTGTGTTTTTATATGATTATACGATTGAAAGACTTTGACACGTACAATGCATGGATGTACAAAAGTTTAATTATTTTACATTTGAAAATCAGTTCCAAACATAAACACGATTCTGTGTTGGATTTGGGTACTAATATATCAATCATGTTAGATTTGCATTGTGGCAGGACTGACTGTATTGTACATTTTACCATGATATAGGTAGGATAATGTCCTTCAAGGTTCTGTGCTATTCTGAATTAACACTCTTGTGAAGGTATACTGTAAAATGCCAACCACCATATTGAGGATGGGGGCCAGTGACAATGATGTTAATCTTGCACCACTGAGCATGCCATGGGGCCAAAGGGCCTTGATGCTCAGCTCATGACTTTATCTCTGAAGTACCATTCTTTTAAGCTTGCACTGTACGCAGCAAGGAGTATAGTATGTACCAAGTGCCCTGGGTGGTGAGCTGGCAACGTATATGCCAGGGGGGCTGGGGGCTCTGGTAGTTAATACTTGCTGTATGTGGAAAGGGCCCCAGGGCCCTGGTGGTCAGCTTGAGCTTTATATGCCAGGACTCATCAGGGTTAATTTGTGCTGTTTATGTCAAGGGCCCTGGTGGTCAAGACTCACTATATATTAGGGCTGAATAATTACACTTTTAAACAATGCGATTAGCCAATCACAAAGATTGCAATTTAGGATATGTATTATACCGCACGTCTGACCCAGGGTTTAAAAACTTGTGAGAATTGGTTTACAACTTCATGCCATCCTCCTTGTGTCACAGTCATCCTGACCAATCAGAAATGTCATGCTCCTCGCATGCCAGTCATGCTCACCAATCAGAAGTGACCCAAGGTGACTGCATATACACCCACAAACGACAAACACGTGTAACCCAAGGAAAAAGGTTAAGCTGAGCGGGTGTTTGTAGAACCACGTTTTCAAAAAAAGTCTGGACGTTGTGTAAAATGTAAAACAATGAAATGATTTACAAATCATATAAACTCATATGTAATTGAAAGTAGAAAAAAGACAACATAAATGTTCAAACTGAGAAATTTTGCTTTATGATAAATATATGCTCAATTTGAATTTAATGCCAGCAACAGGTTTCAAATAAGTTGGGACATGGCATGTTTACCAGTGTGTTGCATCACCTCTTCTTTTAACAATACTGTAAATGTTTGGAAACTGAGACCAGTTGCTGGAGTTTTGAAAGTTTTGAAATGCCCCATTCTTGCTTGATATAGGATTTAAACTGCTCAACAGCTCAGGGTCTCTTTTGTCATATTTTGTTTTGTTTTTTACCGTTCTGCTGATAACAAGCTGGATGGTCCATCCCCTCTTTAGCCTGGAGGATGCAGATTTGTCAGACCACAAGACAGTTTTCCATTTTGCCTGGGTCCATCTTAAATGTGTTCTGGCCTAGAGATGTCAGCAGCGATTCTGGATCATGTTTAGATATGGTTTCTGCTTTGCATGGTAGAGTTTGTGGATGCAGTAATGAACTGTGTTCGCAGACAATATCTTATTTGGAAGTATTCCTGATCCCATGCAGTGATTTCCATTATGGAATCATGTTTGTTTTAATGCAGTGCCACCTGTGGACCCCAAGATCATGGCTATCCAGTATTGATTTTCAGCCTTGTCCCTTGCATACAGAGATTTCTTCTGATTCTCTGAATCTTTGACTGATGTTATGTACCGCAGATGATGACATTCCCACATTCTTTGCAATATTACATTGAGGAACATTATTCTTAAATTGTTGCACTATTTGCCCATGGGAGGTGTCCAGGAGGCATCCTAATGCGTGGCATCCTAATGCGTGGCTTTCACAGAGTGCTGAACCTCTCCCCATCCCCACTGCAAAGAGACTCTGCCTCACTGGGAGGCTCTTTTTAATACCCAGTTATCTTTCATACTGTTGCCAGTTACAGTTATTCCACATTTTATACACACAAAAAATTGAACTCTGGCCACAATTCTGTAAATGTGAAGCTCATGTATCAACAACATGACTCCATACTGCTAAACTCTAAGCACAATTCCATTGGTCTCACTCAAATATCATCAAATCACAGTATTGCACACAAATTGCATCATTTAGCACCCTTTGTTCACCAAGAAACACTGGCCTTCAAAATACAACACCCTGATTACAAATTAGTGTCACTCATGTTGGACCTGTGCAGACTCAATTGGAAGAACAATTCAGTCATATGTCAGAGTATAAAACAGGCCTGAAGTGACTTACAGGTGTTAAGGAAGAAGATGGCAAATGTTAAGGTTTGCTAGCAAACAACTGAAACTACAGTCCTGAAACATAAAGTATAGTAGTCTTTAGATAAGGGGTTTCTAAGATTTCTCTGATACAGAGACAGGTTGTTAACATTAGCTGGCTAGCTACTTAATTTACCTTTCTGTATGTTTCCTCTCTAAGAATTGGGTAAAGTTGCACGTTGTCCCGGCCATCTCAGTGAGAGTTCTGTTACAGAATCTGCACACTGCTGAATGTTTTTCTCTCTGCAGCTACTTTGCAAATTAAATCTTCATGACAAATATTAAGCTGTTGTGATAAATATTG